GGCGGGCCCGCTTGGTGCGGAGGCCTAAGACGCTGAGTTATTAAGCGTGTGCGCCCGCTGGGAAGAGGGGCGTTTTACTAATCAGTACCCCCGCTTCCTGTTCTCTTGCGCCTTGAGCTGCTCCACACCAGTAGTTTTATAAATAATGGTCAAAGAGCAAATCTTAAGAAAGTCTGGGTGTGTGGTTTGTGTTTGTCTGTAGTCCCTCAGCTCATTTCTGCCCCGAATCTGCAGAGCTGGTGCCCACTCCAGGCGACAAGCGTCCTGAATCCCTGGCCGCCCGCTGTGGGCCTCCACCTCCTACTTCCCCAGGACCTTCGCAGCAGCCCTGGTTGCGGGCAGGCCAGGGCCAGGGCCTGAGGTGTTGGAGGGGAGGGAGGTGTGCGGAGACGCCTCCCGGGTGCCGCGCTCTTTGTGACTGGAGACAGACCCTGTCTCCGTGGCTGCTGCACAGCAATCCCTGAATCAATTAAGAACGCCCGCCATGTGCCTTCTCTGCTGGCAGAAGTCGTCTGCACGGCTGGACACCGTAGATGGCAGCTGATGAAGGCACAGACACTAATGAGCTCACAGGATGCCATCGGAACCAGAACTCTCCGAAGATGCGTTCTGACAGATGACAATGGGACTGTGGCTCGGGGGAGGCCACAGGCTTGCAAGAGGCTCACACACACACACACACACACACACACGGGATTTATTAGGCTTATAGGCTCAGAGGTGGGAGACTGTAAGATGCCCGTCTACATGCTGGGGAATCTGAGCTTCCAGTAGCGGTTCGTCTGAAAAGGGGAAGGATGCAGGATGCAGGATGCGGATGCAGCACCAGTCCAAAGCTGAAGGCCTGGACGCTCCCTGGAGAGCAGCTGCTTTGAGTCTCTACTGAAAGGCTTAAGAAACTGGAGCCTGATGGCCACAGGCAGTGATAGAATGAACATCGCACCGATGGGGCAGAACGGAGCTGTCTCAAGTGCAGCCTGATTTCCTCCACCTTTCTCTTTTATTCCATCCAGGCTACAAACCTATTAGTTGGCTCCACACACATTCAGGGTGGATCTTCCCCGCTCAGTGTGCTGGCCTGCATGTGCCAGTAACTTTTGGAAACACCTCACGGACACACCCAGAAAGGTGCTTTACTAATCTGGTAAGTGCTTTTTATTTCAGCCTAGTTGATATATCACAGCTAACAGTCACAATCCACCCTTTGTCAACTTGACAACCAGGCACATTCCCTTAAACCACACTTAACCTTCCAATAAAGACCAACACCAAGTTCATAATGCTACCCGCCATCACACAACTATCCTGCATACAACCAATGCACTGACTCCTTCCCCAGAATAGGAAGTTTCTCTTTAGGGTATTCTTACTCTTCTCCTGACATACAGAATGCATAAAGCAGGTTTGTGATGCTTAAGTGCTGATATTAAGTCAGTGTTCTATTACATGGCATAGGAAGCCAAAGAAAGAAAACAAAGTTATCCACTTAATATAGGTGTGCATAGGCACAAGCATGTTAGCAAAGTGGAAAAGAAATACTCAGAATTACAGTCCTCGTTTCTGTAACTAGCCACAATCACAGTTGATACTCATAACTGCCATCTACCACCCATTCTGTATTCCCATGGCCATCAGCAGCACCTCAGAGTGTCTTGGTTCTTTACCTGACCAGGTGACCCATACCTCCATTCCTGAAGGGTCTGGGCTATTTGTCATCCTGCCTGTGCTGGGCTGTGGTGGTTCTTTGCTAACCCCAATAACAGGACCTAGTGTTACTAGGAGATCCCCTACGTGCTCTCCTGTGCTGCAAACATACTCCCCTTTACCCCACTACAGAATAGTAGTCCAGTTGCTCCTTGATGGTCTGCATCACTCAGCCCTGCCAAAGCTGCAACTCCTTTTAATCTGCCGACTCAGGGAAAGAGGAGCCCAAAATGGCCAGGAGGAAGTCTCAGCTTGCAGCTCACGAGCATCTTTGTTGTGCCTCCTGGTAGAAGCCCCTCTACTCACCCAGAACTAAGACTTCTAGGCCAGTAGCACATAGAGCAATGGGAACAGGAAAGGGGTGATGGTGAGTGATACTGTACCCATTCCCACACCTTGATTTCTGGACTCATGAACCTGGGCTTATGGGGAAACAGCACCATTTACTGCAGGATGACACAGAACACATACGGTTTTTTGGAGAACTTTTCCCCCATCCCTCAAGGTATTGCCACCTCTCTGATTCTGTAGCTGCACCTTTCAAAGGCCGCTCCACTCTTCTATCAATCTAGCCGCTTCTGCGTGGGAAGAGCCGTGGATTCCGTGAGCACGAGCCCATCGCCACACTTCTTTGGCAGTGAAGCATGCTCCTTGGTCAGAGGCAATGCTGTGCGAAATACAAATGGTGAATGAGGCATTCAGTAAGTCCCAGGATGGTAGTTCTGGCCAGAAGCATTAAGTGCAAGGTGGGCAAATTTATACCCACAATAAATGTCTGGCAAAGCATCGCCTCTTCTGTGATGGAAATGATCCAATGTAATCAACCTGCCACCAGGTCACAGGTTGATCACCCCAGGCAGTGGTTCTATACCCGGAGATCTTTGCCACCGAAGTTTTAGTATGTTTCTTCCAGGTCCTTGACGATCAGCTAGATCTTTGGCTACACCCCCCATTCACATATCTGGCCATGTTTTCTTATCAGCAATGACCAGGTGCATTGCCCGAAGTTCTTCCCACTATGAAGATTTCCCTTTACTGCTGTCCTTCAGCGATGTCCCAGAAAGGGGCTGTCATGCTGAGGCTGTCCACTTGAGGGTGGTGCCTGCATCACATGCAGAACCATCTGTAAACCAGTCCTGAGTTTTCTCTTCCTCTGTCAACCGCTCAGAGTACACTCTATGAGACTATAGGCTCATGCCAAGGGAAAGAAAGCAATAGATCAGGAATAGGAATCACGGACATTGGGGCCACTGCTTCATGTAACTTTCTTGTGCCTCAGGACCTGCTCTGACCAGATCATGAATACACCACTTCCATTTGACGAGGGACTGTTGCTGGGCACGTCTGACTCTATAACTCAGTGGGTCAGATAAGAACAGTGCAGGCTGAGTAGCTTAGGTCCCAAGGTAGCTTGGTCTCCCACGGTCAAGCAGTCAGTTTCCAGAGGCCCAGTACCAAGCCAAGAGCTGTTTTTCAGATGATGGCAGATCTTTGCTCTAAAACCTAAGACCTCCACTGTGGTTCTCCTATGGAGGCCTTTCAGAGGCTCCATGCCGCACCCACCTACCACTGACATCTCAAGGGTCACTGGGTCTTCTGGGTAATCCGACCCAAGTGGCAGAGCAGCCTGTAACTCGTCTTCTCCTATTCTCAGCCACACTCAAAACTAGCAGCTTTCTGAGTCACTTGGTAAACGGGTGAGAGTCACATACCCAAGTGAGGAATGTGCTGCCTCCAAAATCCAAATAAGCCTGCTAGGCATTGTGCCTTTCTTCTTTGTAGGAGGAGACACATGCCACAACTTATCCTTCAGCTTAGAAGGGATACCTTTGCATGCCTACACCTCTGGATTCCTAGAAATTTCCCTGGGGTAGAAAGCCCTTTTAGCTGCATTTATGTCCCCTCCTCTGACAAGTGCTTCACCAATATGTCCAAAGTGGTTGCTACCTTTTGTCTACTTGGTCCAATCAGCAACCCATGTGCTACCTTGTAGAAGAGAATGACGGTCGAATTCCTGCAAACCAAGTTGTACCATGGGGTTGGACAGTGGATATAGCCCTGAGTAGGACAGTGGAGGTGTACTGCTTACCTTACCAGCTGAAAGAAAATTGCTTCTGCTGGGTGTTATGGGTAGGTATGGAGAAAAAGGCATGTGACAAATCAACTGCTGCATACCAGGTACCAGGTGTGTTACTCTACTCAAGCAAGGAGACCACGTCTGGTGTAGCAGCTGCGATCAAGCGTCATCATTTGATTAAGTTTATGGCAACCCGCTGTCATTCTCTGATTCCTCCCATCCTCTGCACAGGCCAAACACGCCATGTAGGAGGGTTACACGGTGATGCAGTGAGAACACCAACCCTGCATCACAAGAGGCCTTGGTGGTGGCACTAATTATGATCCCTCCTGGGATGCAGTAATGTTGTTGTTGTTGATGTGGTTTTTTGTGGTATTGGGGATTGGACCTAGGATCCTCAGACCGGGCTATATCCCCAGCCCTTTTTAATTTACAGTAGTCTCCCTGAGCTGCTAATTGCCCAGATTGGATTTGAATTTGTGATCTTCCTGCCTCAGTTTCCCAGAGTGCTGGTATTGCAGGCATGGCCTACACCTAACTCATGGCGGTGTTTATTTTTTGTTGTTGTTGTTTTGTTTTTTTGTTTTTTATACTGGGGATCGAACTTGGGACCTTGTGCTTGGGAGGCAGGTGGTGGAACCACTGAGCTAAATCCTTGCCCTGATCTACCGTCTTCTCAGGTAGATGCAGCTCTAATAGCTTCTGTTTCAGCTCCCCACGATCATAGTCCTGACTCCACAGGTTAGGAACAAGTGTGTGAGTTCTGCCAAATCCTA